AAGTATCTTACAACATTGCTCTTAGTCTTTTCTTATTTCCTTTAGTCATGTGAATGCACAATTGAAAATTTGGAAGGAACCTCAGCAGACATTTAGTTTCCTCTCCTGCAGACAAAGGAAACTGCTACTACAACATTCCCAATAGCTTACTGTCTCGCCTTTGTTTACAAATTTGAAACAATAAATCCAAGTGCTATATTATTATGCATATTGAAAAGACCTGGGATGATTATTGATTTACTAATGATTACTCCATTAATCATAGTAGTTAAAATATTGATTGATTGCTCGCATCTGATGAAACAAAACTAACAATAATAACAAATTGGTGAATGAAGATATGAGACATGGCTCATATTACCTAAGACAACTAAATTCTCTCCAGAATAGCCCATTTGTTGAAAGAAGGGGGGATTTATTAATTGATTGATGGAATGGAAACATTTGTGTTCCATTAATGCATGTTGGCTACTTGCCATTTCTTTTCATTTATTTGGTTCATGTACGTTTTTATTGCTTGCATATTGCTTAAGTTTCCACCTTGGTTAAATAACAGCACTGTTAACATGTAAGGTGAAAACTTTGTGTTTAGTGCTAGATATATCTCTAAGCAAGTTGATCGCTCTCTGAACACAAAGAATCTTATAACAAAAAACCCAGCTTCCAAGCTGGTAGTTAGAATCCTTTTCTGGTAATTTGAGTCATTTGTTGTCATCGAACACGGAAACCCCTGCCTTCAAACTGATCTGACCACAGCAGGAAGTTCCACAGTTCCTGGGAGTATGAGTTTTCCAAGTATCTGCAGCAACAGCTGCAAGAGATTCTTCTTTTCCTCCTTTTCAGATTTCCCCGGCCTCTTTGTAACAATCCCCCTATAAAAAGTATCCTTTTCCCTAACTTTCAACTCTCTGCATGATATATTGTGTCCTTTACTGACTCTAACTCTGCTGCAATGCACCTTCTCTCTCCTGAGCCGCGAAGCCCCGCTGGCTCGGCCACGATGCTCAAGAGGCGTCCTGGGGGGCACAGAACTGTGATCCTTTGAACCACGGATACTGAGACCTGCCCGGTTTCAGTATCCATGACTTAACCGATCGGCTCCGAACCAACGCCATCTTTTTCCCTGATTAATTATAAGACTAACCGCTATCTCATTTTCCACTGAATTGACTCCTATGCCCCCCAGGTCCACTTTTCCCATCCAAAATTCCCATGTGTAAACCAAAGACCCTTTTAGTGGTCTTGTGGTTCCGCATGACATTGGTGTCTCTGCTGCCATGCCTCCTCACACACCATTGGCTGAGCGGCCAAAGTGAGACTCGAGCTCTCATTGGACAAGCTCCTCCTGGCTTACTGACATCAGAGCCAATCACAGCGAAGCCAGCTCAAGGGGTGGGCATGGGAAATTTGAATGGGAAAAACTGTATATATTGTGTAATTCCCTGCACAGGAGATATGCCGGCTCCTTTTCAGATTACTGCAGTTGTCATCCTTTCCAGCTGGAATAGAAAATAAACTTCAGTGGCCTTGCTTCATCATGTTGAGATTTATTGGGAAATAAGGATACTTTTATTTGTGCTTATTGTCTCGCCAGGCATAGCGAGCCCTCCTTTTGGGTCTCCGCCGGCCTCTGCTCAGGCAGGGCCCCCTAAAATCGTGCTCTCTTTCATTGTGGCTCCTTCCACTTGGAGCAATACAAAACTAATTTCCTCTGTTATTTGTTTGCCTGCCCTTCCACTATTTGAAAACAAGACGTTTTAAAACGTATACAATGACATTTGTACACTGACGTATACACTGACATTTCTCTAATTTGAATATATCTCATTCTTCCCATCACTGGTTCTCCATTCCACATCTCTTTCCCTGAGCTGTATGTGTTCCCTGCCATGCTGATAAGAAACAGGGAACCTATGGAAAGTAGCCAACCTGGATTTCATCGACAGCCAAACACCCTGCAAAGAAGATTTAAGTATCCGCCTGTAATATCTTTAGCAAGCAAGAGTGGGTGGTTTGTAAAACTCGTATATTGATTTCACAATGTGTGAACTGAAGGTGTACTTCTTATGCAGCATCATTTTAGAAATAAGAAGCAATATTTATTCTAACAGTGTAATTTAGAGGGAAATGGGTACATGCTATTATTACTAGATGTATTTGTTTTTGACACAATCTTCTCATAATAATGGATGAGTCTTCTGTGCCATGTGGAGTCATGTGATTTGGAGCAATTAGTTTCCTTACCTTGAGTCAGGATGTACTTACAATCTGTGGTCCATGGAGCACCAGTGATCCCCAAGAACTAAAATATAGTCTACGGCCTCACCGCTACTACACTGCTGTAAAGAGAATGACTGGTCTTGTGAAATGAGACAGTGGGGATGTCAAGGGGGGGGGGGGTTAGGGTTTTGTGACTACCCACGAAAGGTGAAACAAGCCTCCTGACTGTTGCTTCTCCTCCTCCTCCCTCCCCCTGAGTAGCGCCATTCCATGTGGCACCTGGAAGTGGGGGCACCTTGGTATCTTCGTTTTTAGGTCTGTTCCTGTTGTTATTTGGGGTACTGATTCAGAAAATTCCATTGGATACACCACACCAGCTCTAGATGATTAAATATGGTTTTCTGTGGGTGAGCAGATGGTAACTACTGGCTGGCGTATGTTCTGTATCAGAAACTAGAGCTGATGTGGTCTAGCCAATGCAATTTTCTGAATCAGCACTCCAAAAAACCAACCCGAATCTAAAATTGACCAAAAACTGATTCATAACCCTTTTAGTACTAATGTTGGAGAGTGGTCCCTGGTAAAAGTCGTCCCTGATTAAAAGAAGTTGGGAACTACTGACTACAATTAATGAAATTCAACACCAATTTAACTGCCCTGGCTCCATGCTATGCAATCAGGGGAGCTGCAGTTTTTAAACCTTCTCTGCCAGAGAGTTCTTGCGCCTCATCAAACCACAAATCCCAGGATTTCATCACTTGGAGCCATAGCAGTTAAAATGGTGCCAATCTGCATTAATTCTATGTTGCAGATGCACCCCCAAACCATTAATGGAGCTCACCTATTTATTTATTTATTTATTTATTTGACTTGTATACTGCTACTCCCAGTTTGGCTCGGAGCGGTTTACAGCAGTACATTAAAACAATACAATTAACTTTAAAATACAATAAAAACAAGAACAGACATAGTCCCGAGTTATTCACCCATCAAAAGCTAGATCGGGTTTCAACTGGCAAGGCATTCCATAAATAAGGGGCCACAATCGAGAAGGCTCTCTGCCTAGTAGAGAACAGATGATAAGTCCAGATGCTGGGGACTTCAAGCAAATTTTGATCTTTGGACCGAAGTAATCTCTGGGGTTGGTAGGGGGATAAGCGGGCCCTCAGGTACGCCGTCCCCAGATCATATAAGGCCTTAAAGGTTAATACCAGCACCTTGAAAGTAATCCGGTACTCAATCGGTAGCCAGTGCAGCTGTTGTAGAATTGGGGTGATACGACACCTCGACGGCACTCCGGCGAGAAGACGAGCCACCGCATATTGCACCAGCTTCAGTTTCCGGACCACTGACAAAGGTGGTCAAGCCTCAAGATGACCGTCGCCTGGATCACCGTAGCCAGGTCGTTCCTAGATAGGTCGGGAGCCAGTCGCCTAGCCTGACGTAGATGGAAAAATGCAGATCGGCTCACAGCAGAGACCTGGGCCTCCATTGTGAGCAGAGGGTCCAATAAGACATCAAGACTTTTTACAGAAGATGACGGACGTAGCGTCTCACCATCCAGGGTAGGCAGCTGGATCTCCCTCCCCCCCAGACGGCCCAGCCAAAGGATCTCTGTCTTTGCTGGGCTCACCCTCAACCTCAACCTACTACTTCATCTCACTAGAGAATGAATTCATTTAAATCTAGTTTCTGCCTCCTGCAGAATTCTGGGGTTTGTAGTTTAGGGATGCTGATAAAGGCTCCTCCCTAAATTACAAACCCCAGAAT